AGTCACATGACACATTGTTTGGGTTAAACATGAGCATGTTACAGTCCTGGAGGATTATTAATGTGCACCTCCTCCTGTACTGCCTTAATATGCACATTCAGCACATCCAATGTATCAAAACATTGTTTTCTAGTTGGAGCCACGCCTCGTTTTCAAACTGTATGGTTTGACTAAAATGAACAATGACAGCAATATAGTCCACGATGAGCAGCGCTAAAATCAACCTGCGTAGTTGTCCCTCCATTGCGACATTAGAAAGTGTCACATTTATTTTCAGGCTGCTTAGCTTCCGTGTGTGACTCCAGCCTGCCTCTCCAAAAGGAAGCATATTGACTGACAGCTACCATATGTAATACACTGACTATGAATAAGTACCTCATACAACCCCACTTCAAAAAATCTGAACTATCCCTTTAACACTATGAAAGTCACTGGTTTTTACAGGATGAAGAGTGACACAAGTGTATTAAACAGCTAAACCATGTGTTCTTCAAACTGCTGAGCATCAAAATAACAAATTATTATGAGTTCAAGCAAAAATCAAAGAAAATTATTGATGTTTTCTAAAACCCAGTTCAGAGCAAAGACTGACGAAGAGACGAAACAGTTTAAGAACGCTGCAGAGAAAAGTTGCAGCGGTGTGAACTGGCCAGTCTGAGCTCTACTTAAGCCAGCTGATGGTGTCACCTGCAACTTAGCTGGTCAAATCACCGGTGGCTGGTTTTAAAATGTAAAGCACGTCACCTGTTTCAACAACCAATTGGCTTGAATTGAAGTCAGCTGGTCAAAATGACCGCGGGCGGCGTGGTCGCTTGCCGTGGCAGGTGCTACATCCCTGCCAAACCCTACATTTCCGTCCTCACAATGTGGCGGTGTTGGACAGTGGGACGCTGCTGCTACTCGCTGTATGTGCATATGCCCACCCGACACATACACATTCTCACTAACTGATTAATTGCCGCTAGTTGAATACAGTCCATCTGAGCTCATTTTGTTTCTGTTTTTCACTGTTTCATCACTACTACAGATGTAACTGTAGCCAGTATCTCACTATCACTATCTTCATTCATATCTTAAGAAGCTACAAATTATATTCAGCCACAAAATAAGCCTGAAAAGCTGGAAATCAGAACGGAAACACAGAGCATTGTTGCATAGAGATGATATACCGTCTCATCTAATTGCATTGGTGTGAGTCGGCAGATTTTTACAACGTTGCAGAACGGCGCATTGCAAGTAGTTTGTTTCAACTCGTCTCATCACAAATCTTTGGTCTGAAATGGGCATAAGAATTTCCCTTCAAAGTTAAGACTAGGTACTGATAAAGATAAAAGTTATTCAGAGAGGTGGGAGAAATATGCCCCGAACACTGAATGACAATGTATAAATTAAATGCTACAGATTAGATCGTGCAGGAATTTTGTTTGTGTTCAATCTCATTAGGGATACTCACACATTTCCCACCCAACAAAATAATGCTGTAACGCCAGAAAGATTAGGCTGGGTTAGAAGTCAATCTAATAAGTATGCATGAGTAGCTGCAGATGGACAGAAAGATATACACATGCACATACACACACACAACCAAACGCATGATCCCCCCCAGGCATATGCCTAGGGGAGATGACAACGCAGACACTGGAGTCACGTTCTTAGAGTGCAAGGAAAGTTGAAAGGATGAGGTAAGAGTAGATGAACAGGGGTGCAAAATGTGTGACTTTCAAACCGGAGACTGGCTTTCTTAAACCATTTCTCTGATTCTAACCAAGTAGCTGTGGTGGCTAGGGCTGGGCAATATAACGAAATATTATCAAATGTGACATAAGACTAAATATCATCTTAGATTCTGGATATCGTAATATCATGTGTGGATTTGAACACTACATTACAAGTCAAGGTTATCACAGTTAAGTGATGTCATTTTCTGAACACACCAGACTGTTTTATTTGCCTTTAACCAGACAAATATTCATGACCTTAGTTACTGTATCCACATTACTGCTGATAATTTATCAGAAATATAATTGTGTAAGTATTCAGTGAAAGCATAAATACATAATACCGTAAAATATCATCATATTGTCAGTGTCAAGGCAAAACATAACGTGATATTTGAATTCTCCACACCACCCTAGTAGTAACCTATGCTAAACCATAACTGTAACCACAGATCTGATAGGCTCAAGAGTCATTTTACGACCTACTTTGTCTTTTAAAATGGGGTCTTGTTGGGTTGAGGTTTGCATAAACAAACTCCATCACCTTATGTGAGGATACAGTTTTTTCTGTTTTATCTTCACATTGACCAGACAGATGTACAGTATTCGTAAAGCTCCTGATACTAGCGTATACAATCAACACTTGGAAGGTAATATTAAACTGCTCTCAAGCCACAGTATATCTACAATGTGTGCAGGGCACAGTCATCATGAACTGAAGGTGCCACAAGGCTGCGTACTTGCACACTTTTTATCAGTGACTGTGTGAGTCATCACGGTAGTTTTGGAAGCTGATGAAATACAGGTGATGCAGCTTTGGTGGTCCTTTTAACTCACGCTGGGAAATCTACAGATTAGACAAACAAAACTCATGCAACTTCAAAAATTTCTAGATTTTAAACAAGAAAGCAAAATGATAACTGACCCCTGAAAGTTAACTGCCTTACTCAGGTTAACCTAGGTAATCTTTGTTGAGTTGTAATACCATGACCAACACTATCATGGATTTAAAAAGGTTCCACCACACTTTTGTTCTCAAACTAACTCAAGAGTCTAGCGAGCGAGGCAGCAGGAATCTACCAACACAAGGCAGAGGCGGTGGGAATACACCGACACAAGAAAGTAAAAGTGGACCATGTGGAAATGGAAAGTGGAAAATTGTATGATGTAACTAATAAACCAATAAAGTAATAGAAGATCCATCACCCTCTCATTTGAATATGCAATTTGACCTTTAGGTAGTAGGTACATTTACCAGATGCGAATAAAAACGTGCTCATCATTCAGCTGCTTAACACACCTACAATATTAACACTGGCATTTAATAAGTGATACACTTACACAACTAGATCATGCACTTCATATCTTTATGTCAACCTAAGCTTGATATTTTATGTTTTATTCTAAATACATACATGGTGTACAAATACGTTCAATAATTTATGATGTTTCTGATGAGTCTTATTGTGAAAATTCCCCTGTGGGCACAAAAAGATTTTCATACCTCCACCTTAAGGAAACTATTGTGAATATTATCTACCGGTGATAAAGCAATCAGTGAATATTATCCTCTGATCACACGGCAAATTAATTACCAACAAGACATTATGAGCAGATAAACCAGAACACCAAGAGATGTCTAACAGTATTTGAATTGCTCGATATGTGGTTATTATTTTCTCGACTTTATATCTTTATATTTTGTGATTTGTACACTATATGTCCATGTTTGTTTTTTTGTTCTTTAATTGCTATTTTCTATTACCTTTAGGGATGTAAACAGTTAACTGTCAGTTAATCAGTTAATCCCAGAGAATATATTTGATCTGTTGTTGTCCGTCCATAGGTTAATGTGTACACACACAAACACACACACACACACACACACTCTGTGAGGTTTACAAGGCTTTACTGCATTAAGAACAATGCTAATGAGGTATTAATGCTAGCCGCGACTATTGTTGGTAACAACATCTTGACCCATGGTGGTGGGATGGCGTTACAGCAGAAACATAGAGCCCACCCTCCAGTCTACACCCAGGTTGCCCTGGTGAGTAAGCAACCTAATTTTAAGCCTAAAAACACCTTTAGCATCGTTGACAATGTTAGCACTGTGAGCACCATTAGCAGCGTCAGCACGGCTAGTAGTGCTAGCATAGTTAAAAATACTAGAGGGGCTTTGCGGCGCACAATGTAAAGTGGCAGCTACCTTACCAATGGAGATCGGCGGGTGGGCACTATGTTTCTGCATGTTAACGTGGCTTGCCACCAATCTGTCAGCAAAGCTAACAAAAAAATTATGGCATTCACATTTATAACAAAACGTTAAGAGTTGCAGCTCCTCTTAATGGCTAGCGCTTTGAAATGCGGCACCAAAGCTCATTTGGTCAACTGAGGGCTGGACAAAAAGTTAAGTGCCTCTTATGGCCGGGCTCCACCACGCACGTCAGCGGCGCAACACGTCTGCAGCGCGAGTCCTGTAGCAGCTCGCCCCCCTGTTAATCAATTACAGCGGCTCCACCGGTAACAGGAGTGGTGCGACAACCCCCGTCTGTCGCGCGACAACTCTCTATTTTACGCGGCTCTTCTATTTTTGTCACGCTACGCTCCCCTACGCGACCCTCCAGCAGATAAAAACTACATGAAATAGTGTGCTAAACGAGCACAATGTGTTTTTAAATGAATAAACCATTATCAGAGGTGATATGTGATGATTTTTTTTTATGCATTTACCCATGTTTCCGTGACATTGTATAAATGTCCGTGGCGGACATTTAAAAGCGAGTAGATGACAAACAGTACAGTAAACTTGTAGATAACTCAAATATATGTAATAACTTAGGTGGAAAATGCTTTAACATTTCATGCAGCCTACATGCAGCCTCTCGGCTCGGCAAACGGTAAACAACCCCGCTGGCTTCTCTATGTGTCGTTTCCGTATGCAGTCAGGAGCCCAAATGAATACGCCGCGATGCTACGCTGTAATGACACTTAGTTTGCAGCCGGTGGAGCCCGGCCATTACATTTCACTAGGGCTGCAGCTAACGATTATTTTCATTGTCGACTAACCTGTCGATTATTTCTTCGATTAGTCGACTAATCATTTTATCGAAAAATGTGTTAAAATGTTGAAAAATGTCGGTCTGTCTCTCCCAAACCCTAAAATTATGTCATCTAATGTCTTGTTTCGTACTCACACCAAAGGGTTTTAGTTCACCGTTATGGGAGAGTGTGTAAAACTGCCAATACTTGAACATAAGAAGCTGCAATAAGAGTATTTTGGGGTACTTTTATAGTACTTTTCTATGAAAATTATTCTAATAGTCGATTATCCATCAATTAGTCAACTAATCGTTGTAGCCCTACATTTCACATAATTTTGTGTTGTTTATTTTTTCTTAAAAATTACAGATTAATTACTGCTTAACAGGTGTTGGGCTATCCACAGCAACTAACAAAATTGAAATCCCTAATTTCTTCTTATTTCCATCTTTCTCTTTTCCTTTTCCTTTTCTTCCTCTAACTTACATTCTAAAAACTGTTATATACATTAAGTTTGCTTGCTTGAAAAGCTGATTAATAAAACTTGTACTAGAACAGTTAAAAATAATGTGAGCAGATAAACTTGAGATCACACTTTGGGTCAAAAAAAAAAAACAAACAAACCAAACTTATACTGAGCACAAGGGCCTAACATTCTTTCAGTATGTCAGTATGCATGTTGCTAGGTGAGGCTTTTTTCATTTTTTTTTATTTTTATTTTTTTTTTGTAAGCTGTGCCTTATTAAATTGTGAACCACAGAAAGACAGGCATGTCGTTGCTGTTTCACATAATCTTAATATATGTATGAAAAAGTAGAAAGTGTGAGTTCATGACAAACATTTGCCCGCAGAGCAAGCAGAGAAAGAAAAACCCTCTGCACCACAAACTAGGGACGGCCAACCTACTTTCATATGAGCTTGATGTTGAATGCTGTGCTACAAGAGGCCACTTGAGGGATTTTACCATGTTGTAGTAGCACTGTAAAAAAAAAATTCCAAGAGTCATCTAAAGGAAAAACAACGTTGTATGCATTAGATGATATATAACTAATTCAGCCCACCCTTTCCACCCCACAGCTATATAAATTCAATACAGCACAGGGGCTAAGTAAACCAATGCTACACCTCCACTAGACAACTTGACTATTACACTGACAAGCCTTCAAGCTGAATATGGAGCACTTTATTAGGATTGCCTTTTGGATTGTTTCTCTCTCTGGTTGTCTTCAAACAGAATCACAACCCATTCCTGACGCCCGTAGCGACTTCCATATCGACTCTATGCTGAAAAACGTCAATTGTGTAAGTCATTTCAAGCCAAATATTTTCCTCTGCTCAGCTTTCGAAGTTTCTGCCAGTTGCTTATACAGTGTTTTCTTCTGTCCATGCAGTCATCAGGTTCAACATTCTATACTCCAACAAATGTTCAGGTAAGGGCATATTTTATATTGTTATCATTTTGATCTACAGTTCTTTAAAATGTTATGATGTATTCCCTGAATGTTCACATGTAACAATGAAATACTGTTCATGTATGTGCTGTGCCTAAAATGATGATTATGATGGATTTATCAGTTTATCAGTTTGTTAATATTAAGTCAAGAACAAAAAAAAGTCGGGGTGGGGTACTCCCCAGCATCAAAGAGGCTCAAGTGTCAGGGTTTAGATGAGCTTTTATAAACCACATGTAAAGGATCTCTAGTACAGGAAATGAGCTTGGCAGGTGTTGATACTTCACACATCTGTGACAGCTTGTATTTGCTGACATCTCCACGTGCAGCCACAAGTCTGCCTCAGTCAGAACAGTGAAAGGAAGCTAAAACATCTTTTTCTCACACACACAGAGAGAATGCTTTACTAAAGCACTGGAATGCGTTAAGAAAGAACTTTATGGAACGGCCAAAGCGGAATGTGAAGACCCCTACAACTACATAAGCGCGGCTCTTGAACAACTGCATGAGCTGACTGAAGAGCTGGGGAAGAAAGGCAATGTAAGTATCTCTCCATGCTGTATTACCAAATCAAGTGCCAATGATAAAAAAAAAAGAAAAGAACGTGATTACAACATGACATTTATTGCAATGGACTAAACTTACTCATCGACTTATTTCTAGGCACCGACAAGCTCAACTAAATGTGACTGTGAGCTGTGGTCTGAAACTCCTTTCAGTGAGTTTCTCAACAAAACAGAAAATTTACTTCAGGCGGTAAATACTGCACAAGAGGAAAACAACTGAACCATATCTAGTATGAGACGACACGACCAACCATCGACTCTGAAGCAGATGGACTTTTCAAGAACATATATCTTGGGTGTTTTAAGAATTTTATATAACCAAGCAACATCTATACATGCCGAGGGGAATTATCTCAGGTATATCTGTTTATAGTGATGCTATGATACTCAACACTGCTCTAAAATATTTATATTTATATTTATAGCATTGTGACTGCAATATGGAGACGGTACTGAATGTGTTTTTTACTACATATTAATAATCCTATTACACAATTATGTATTTTTTCACTCATTTCTACAAGAGTCTGCTGTGAAATGTATTTTAATGTTCTCAGTCTCCAGTAATGAGAATGTATTTGATGTAAGCTCCTGTAAAGCTCTGAATTTCTATTTATATATTTAATATTTAATTTATTTGCTGTATATTGGTCCTCTAAACCCGAGGGTGTAACTTAATAAAATGCTATCTTAAAGAGGTTTTTTGTATTGTCATTAAGTACATGTACAACATTATGGAAAGTGTCCTCCAAAGATTACTATTACGTTTGTCCAGAAAAAAAATGGTTTAGCTTACATGTGTTGATGGTAGAGACTTCATCAAATAAGAATGCTGTCTGGATTAAGTTTTAGATTGAGCTACCCAAAAAATATATAAGACACAACACATTTCTGAGAGCCAAAAAGCAGATTTTCCCTCTTAACATTAGCAGTGATGCAACTAATGTGAGAGAGGAATAGGACCTCAGTCTGTGGGAGGCAGAATTTCCTTAACGTTAATGGTAAATGTACAAACCAGGCTGTCTACAGTGAGTATGGAAAAGTAAAAGTCATAGTGATTCATTCATTGTCAAGTCATTTTAGGAACAAATACAGTTTCTGTACAGTCCCGCAGTGCTTAGCAAGTTGTGCCAAAAGGCAAATCCACTTATTTTTGCCTACGTTGGCAGGTTAGCTGTTTTTTGGCATCATAAGATAGTAGTGTGGCAGCCAAGATACATATATATATTTTTAAATCAACTACTTTTTAAAAGTCATACATGTCATTCCTATGGTCTGAAATTATTCAAAAACATGAACAACTCTCCCAAATCAAAAAGCTAGAGTATTAAAACTAAAATTTGTGATGTCATATGGTAGAAAGTCTGGAGCTGCTCCACAGACCATGACATGGGAAAGATGTTCTAGATGACACTAAGGGTTTGACTATAAAAGAATAAAACAATCGTTCTATAGGTCCACAAAATTAAGGTGCCATTCTTTGTGAAACAGCTCCAGACTTTATACCCATCACAAGTTTGAGACTTACTTCTCTGGTTTCTGGCTTTGAGAGCGAGGAGCTCATGTTCACAAATATTGATTGAACTTTCCCAGGCATATTGGAATTCTTAATTTAGGTGGTGCTCCCCTTTAATAGCTGTCTGGTTCCCCACCAACCCCCCAAATTTCCACTCTTAAATCTTATCTTAAAGACCCATGCGTTTAAAGGGATAGTGCACCCAAAAATGAAAATTCACCTATTATCTACTCACCCATATGCCGAGGGAGGCTCAGGTGAAGTTTTAGAGTCCTCACAACACTTGCGGAGATCCAAGGGGAGAGGGGGTAGCAACACAACTCCACCTAATGGAGGCTTAGGGTGCCCCAGATTCAAACGTCCAAAAACACATAATTGAAACCACAAAATATCTCCATACTGCTCGTCCGTAGTGATCCAAGTGTCCTGAAGCCCTGACATAAGTTGTTTGGAAAAACGTCATTTGAACTCTGTTTTTAGCCTTACTGTAGCCTGTAGCTCTAACTGCCTCTCTATACACGGCGTTCACATGTGAACGCTTGCGCGCAAGACCAGCGAAAGCACGTGAACACACATGAACGCGTGCCCATGTCTCGGTCTCGTGCAAGCGCACACACGTGAATGCAGTGTACAGAGAGGCAGTTAGAGCTACAGGCTATAGTGAGGCTAAAAACAGAGTTCAAATGACATTTTTCCAAACAACTTTTTATGTCGGGGCTTCAGGACACTTGGATCACTACGGACGTGCAGTATGGAGATATTCTGTTGTTTCAGTTATGTGTTTTTGGACGTTTGAATCTGGGGCGCCGTAAGCCTCCATTAGGTGGAGTTGTGTTGCTACGCCCTCTCCCCTTGGATCTCCGCAAGTGTTGTGAGGACTCTAAAACTTCACTTGAGCCTCCCTCGGCATATGGGTGAGTAGATAATAGCTGAATTTTCATTTTTGGGTGCACTATCCCTTTATGTCGCCATAATCATTAAAGCTACAGTTGGTAACGTCCATGAACGTAACCTTGTCATATTTGCTAAAACTGTCATTACATCCACACAGTATTTAATGAAACAGGTAGTTTGTAAAAATACGTTCCTCCTAATACTGCTTCTAATGGCCTTTGCTAGAATCTAATGAAAAACAACCAATCAGAGACAAAGAGCCTTTAACGCAGCTGTCATTCATGTCAATTACTGGTCTTAAACTGCGGTCAAACTGTCAAACTAGGCAGTGCTGGTGAAATATGAATCAAGATTCTGTTAGTGCAATGCCCTTTTCTTGCCTTGATTGTTTTCATAAACATATTTCAGTGTATTATTCAGCTTTAAAATGAGAATGTGACCCGGCTGCTGTGTCGGAAACAGTCAAGTGAAGTACCAAGCACCGCCCACCGGCCAGAGCAACGCTCTCATTTGACAGCTAAACAGTACCCTAATAACTGATCTGAAAACGTGAGATGAAAATAGACAATGCAATAACGGAATCTTGATTCATATTTGATAAGCTGCTTAGTTAGTTGTTTTTCATTCTCTTGTTAACATCATTAGAAGCAAACTGAGAGGGCAGAGGAAAATGATTTTTTCCACAGATCATGTCTCATGTATGTCTGTGTGGATATAGTGAGTTTCAACAAATATGACAAAATTATTTTCCAAAGGTTACCAACTGCAGCTTTAAAATGAAGACATGACTGCTTTTATTTTTTATCTTTTACACAGATTCACCTCTGTATTTTCATTTTAATTATTTTAAAGTGTTTTACATGTTGCATTCACTAATAGCAGGATCTCACTACACTGTAAACACAGACTCCAGACACCTAGATTATTTGGATTGTGAAGAAAAGGCCTGTTTGAGGATTATAAGGCAGGATTGGAGGACAGTGCACCTGCAAAACTTAAAAGCATGTTTGAGTGTTATTTGCAGCACTGGATGACATAGTGTTGTTTGTCATAGCCTTCCACTGTTATATTAATGAGCCTTTTCAGCTCTGAAGCTCATATTGCCAGAATACCATTTTTAAGTGGGTTCTAAAAGAACCATATGATCATTGTAACAGCATACAAAATGATTCATTTTCATTCATTTCCTGATATGCCACCTACGTGGTTACGTTATGTTGAAGTTTAGTCAACTAAAACTGTTTAGGTGATAGGGCACAGTATGGTTTCCAAAATGTAATGCAATGAGATCAATGCAATAACAGTAAAAGGTAAATGGACTTCTTCCAACTACTCAAATCATTTCTACACTACAGGTCAGAGTTGTAGTCATAGTTTTGTATTTCTTATTAGCTTTTATTTTTATTTTGTTTCCAATTTCTGATTTCAGTTCAGTTTGTAAGTCAGTCTAGTTCCAGTTAGTTTCCAGAGTAGGTCTGTTTCAGTTTTGTCTTTACTGTTCAAAGTGATAGCTCAGATTTTTAAGGAGGGGTTGTATGATGTACTTATTCAT